AGATTATGTTTCTCCAAACGAATCGTTCCACATCGGGTTCTTTAATAGATGATAGAGCTTCAGCCTCAATCCATTTAGTAAAGTAGTCTGTGGCGACGATCATCATTTCTTTCTTGGCAAGCGCTGTTGGCATGGGGCCCACTAAGTCGATGGCCCATTGCATGAAAGGCCACGGACTATTCTGCGGATGTTAGATTTCGCCAAACTGGTTAGGAATTGATTTGTACCACTAACAGCAATCACATCTCTTAACATATTCGGTGGAGTCGTAGAACATAGTAGGCTAGAAATAGCCTATGTTTATAGCCTTCTGGGCGAGTGACCTGCCCCCAGAGTGGTTGCCACACTCGCCGTTGTGAATTTTGCAGAGGATCTCAAGTGTTTGAGGGTATTTTATGCAGGTGAGATGAAGGCCGGAGTATGATTTGTGAATGAGCTTGTCGCCTTGCATGTAGTATGTCGCGGCTTTCTGCTGGACCTTCCTAGCTTCGGACTTATCCATTGGCATATTTCCATTCACCAAGTAGTCGATGAAGGGATCTTGCCAGTTGGGGTTTTCATCGATCTACATTAACTCGATTGACTCTATTTCTTCGATGCTTGGCCAGTCAAGGTGTTCGACCGGGATGGAGCGTCTAAACTGGGTGTCCAGCGCTGATCCTAGGCTCGCTAACGCATCTGCATGAGTGTTCTCCGCCTGTGGAATTTGTTGGATGGTGAAAGTAGGAAATTCTTTCAAAAGTCATTGGACTTTGTCGAGGTACCGGATCATTCTTGGATGTTTTGCCATGTACTCGCCTGAGGCTTGATTCGTGATCAGCTGGAAGTCTGAGTAGATGGCCAATCTTTTGATCGACAGTTGTTTTGCTAGGAAAGCCCAGTGTGATGGCTAGTTCCAACAAAGTTCCGTCTGGGGTGATTATGATGGCGCCTTCCCCCGCTCCCTTGTGATTTGATGCTCTGTCTACATTCAACTGCCACAAGTCGTTAGTTAGGTTTGAATCGGTGGGGGAGGTATCGTCTGCTTTTTTCTTGCTTTTCGTGACCAGCTTCTCTTCTTTGGCTATCATACTAAACTCTACAACAAAATCTGCTAAAGCCTAAGCTTTTATAGCAGTCTTCGGCTGGTAGAAGAGGTCGCATTGACTGAGTTCGATAACCCATTTCATGAGTCGCTGAGAAGCGTCGGGGCTGTGGAGGATCGATCTCAAAAGAAATTCTGTCATGACAATTATCCGGTGAGCTTGATAGTACGGCCTTAGTTTTCTCGTGGAAACCACAAGCGAAAAAATGAGCTTCTCCATTTTCGGATAGCTAGTCTTTGCATCGAGGAGAGCTTTTGAAGTGAAGAATACCGGATGTTGTGCCCCCAAGTCTTTTCATATGAGAGCTGAGCTGACAGCTGAGTCAGACACTGCCAAGTAGAGGTACAAGTCTTCGCCTCGTACCGGTTTTGAGAGTAGGGGAGGTGAAGTGAGGTATGTTTTCAAGTTTTGAAAAGCTACTTCGCACTCGTCATCCCACTTGTCTTTGTGTCCTTTCTTTAAGGCTTTGAAGAATGGTCTGCACTTGTCGGCAGATCTCGAGAGGAATCGGTTGAGAGTTGCTGCTCTACTCTTTAGACTTTGTATGTCATTTGTTGTGGCAGGTAACTTCATGTTGAGTATAGCATTGATTTGATTAGGATGTGCCTCAATTCCTCTTTGGGTGACTAAGTATCCCAGGAATCGGCCGAATGAGACTCCAAATGTGCATTTGCTCGAGTTCAACTTCATGTTGTATTTTCGGAGTAGGCTGAATGCCTTGGCAAGGTTTGTGATGTGGTCTGCTCACTGGGGAGCTTTGACTAACATGTCGTCTACGTAGACCTCCATAGTCTTACCGATTTGCTCTTTGAAAATTTTGTTTACCGGCCTTTGGTAGGTTGCTCTGACGTTCTTCAGCCCAAAGGGTATGACTATGTAGCAGTATGTACCTCTTTCGATGATGAAGGAGGTCTTTGCCTTGTCATCTTCATGCATCATGATTTGATTATAGCCGGAGTAGGCGTCCATGAAGCTTAGCAGTTGATTACCAGAAGTTGAATCGACAAGTTGATCAATTCTTGGCAGTGGAAAGTTGTCTTTAGGGCATGCCTTGTTGAGGTCGGTGTAGTCGACGCACATTCTCCACATGCCTTTATCTTTCTTTGCTACTAGAACAATGTTTGCCAGCCATTCTGCATAGGAGACTTCTTCAATGAAACTGGCAGCTAGGAGCTTCTCGACTTCAATGACGGCAACTCTCTCGGGGGCGAAGTTGCGTCTCTTCTGCACTACAGGCTTGATAGCTGGGGTGACTTGTAGGCAATGGCAGAT